AAAAAGAACAATTCAGTTCAAGGACAGATAATATATTACAGTTCACCACTTGAGAAAAACACAGATTGTATTGGACCATAAGATATTTCGGTGTTCTTAGTGTTGTTCTACGAACACCCCGTATATAAACATACACATAATTATATAGTATATGATTGACGAAAAAAAGAAAAAAAGTCTTCAAGAACTAAGAGAAATCGAACATCCTGAAAACTATAGTTTGTGGCTAGGATTTCTTTTCATCTTATTGCTTCCTTGGTCATTCACAAATTATAGTCGATTTAAGTATTAACTTTAAGAATTTCCTATTAAGGGTTACTTATATATGCTGGTATGTTTTGTTTAAACTGCAAGAACTTGTGTTAAACAGACTGTGCATGCATCAGTAAGATTTTCTCAGCTGATCATTATAACAAGTTTACAACGTCATGTGCTCATGCATGTTTTAATACAGATTCTAAGGACAAGAAATAATAGATTACTACATCCAAGAAAGAAAGCTTCTCGTACCATGTGATTATATGAAAACACAAGTTCCACGATTGTTGCTGTCTATAGGACCACCTTAAAAATAAATGCTACCAGCTTTAGATGGAACAACTGAACAACTTCAGGAAGATCCAAAAGAAAATGAAACTGTTTTTTGTTCTTATTTCTGAAACACCAAGACACCATTCATGTGGCTGACACAGAGAAACATTTTTTTTTATAAGAAGAATATTATTGATAAAAGAAAGAAAGAATTCAGAGCAAGAGCCACATTAAATGGCAAATGGAAACAGACCCAGACTCATAACAAGGACCACATCACCACCATGACACAGAGAAACATTAACCATGACAGATATCTGGATTTGCAAATTCTTCTTCTCTATTGCGAAAATTAAATTTTGATAAGAAGAATGTTTTGTCTTAAAAGGAAAATTTATTTAAATTATTGAATTTTGAAACATATTTGATGGTTGGAGACATTTTATTAGGGTCACTGATGCAGTGCAGACTGTGCAGTACACTTATTTTCTGTTAACGAGCTCAAATTCAGTGTTGCGATTGCATATCGAAAGAACTTTTATGAGCTTATTCTTTTTTAACTTTTATGTTAATTTAACTTCTAACTGTTTCTGTTTACGGGGCTTTTTTGTTCAGGAGAAGTTGTATTTTTTTATTTTTGG